AAATAAGTGAATCTGAGCGAATCCATACCTTGGCCTTGTCCAACTCCGCCTCTTTATCTCTGAGCGACGTTTCCAAGCCGTCAATACGTCCCATCAGCTGGGAAGTCCTATGATCCGATTGCTGGATCTACAAAAATTCATTTCAGGAAAGTGCACTTGTTGCAAACACAAACGCGGACGATTTAGAAGACCGAAAAATTATTTCAGCATGTGAGATTTCAAAGTAATATCCCTTACCAAAAGGGTTCATGAAGCGAAATGAAGAGATTGGATACGAGATTAAGAACAAGAAATTAATACATGCGTTCAGTGAAAGTGTGTACAGGGAAATAGTTAAGGGAGGGGTGTGATAAATGCAAATATATCAAAACAATAAATATTTGACTTGACAAAACTTAAATAAGACAGTATCTGATTATCAAACCTTATCAAATCCGAAATGAAGCACTCACCTGTTCATTCCTTTCGCTCACTTCTCCCTTCGCGCTTGCTAATTCCTTCTCTAGGCGCTCTATTCGTTGATCTCGTTGCTCCATTTGCTGATTCTTACCTTCCAACTTTTGCCTTAAGGCGTCGACCTAAAATACTCCAAAATATTTTGAGTCTGTAACTAACCGATCAGCTAACAACTATAGCATCGTTTAGGAAGTTTTCATAGCCAGGTCATTTGGCCGTAACAAGCGATCGCACAGCTAGATATGTACAGATCGTCCAGTCGTCCGACACGTCCGATCAGATCGATACGTATCTAAGTTGTACGGTGGTTACGATCGGACGACCGAGTATAAAAGCGCCCTCATCGTCAGCAAAGTCGATCTTCACTTGAATCCTCCCGTCACTTTAACCGCTTTTTAGCGCTTTTTTCAAACTCGACAAGTATCAAACAAAACCCCTGGCAACCCCTCATCACTTGGAAATGATTACTCAAAATAAGTAAAAAGTACATGTCCATGGGCATATAGGTGTACAAGAAAAAGCACAGTTTGTATCGATCAAAAGTTATTGTTTAAAACTTGAACATAGTGAAGCACCTACATCGCCTTGCAAAAGGGTATGCTGTTGTTCGCGGTTTGTGATTTGTTCCTTTAACAGCTGAACGTGTTGCCGTAAATCAGCCGCCTGCTCTTCGGCATGCCTCATTCGGGCCTGACATTGGGCCAGCTCTGCTTTTCTTTCACTCAACTCGACTTCTGATCGCTCCATTTTCATGCGAAGGGTTACCTGAAAGATGAGTCAATTTCACCTCAAAAAATGCACAAGTAAAAACATGAAGAACATCAGGACAAACGAGTAGACACATCAAAAAGCACTAACCATCTCGTGACTTGTGATGCTTTTATCGGTGAAATCGCGAGGTTGACCTGCGCGACCTAATCGCAGTCTGGACACCTCCTCTTGGAGCTCATTAATACGTGCTTGCTGTAACGACACATAACTTACAATAGTGCAGAATAGACTGGCGTTATGAAAAGTTGAAGTACTTATTGTTAGGCAGCCATAATGAGGGATCCAGAGAAATTATCCCCACGAAATCAGAAGGTTTTTTGCAAGAGAAGGTCAGATCAATCCAGCCAATTTAAATGGGGTGTATATGGTTGCATTCGATTTGAGACGCTAAGCACATTATCGGAGCTCCTTTCCATATTTTATCAACAGTTCAGAAGCTCTGAGCAATGCATCTGGCGAATGCGACTTCAAACATCCATACATAATTTGACAGTTCTATTCTAAATATGTCGAAGAATGCTGCCCCAGAGCTCAGCAGACGCGAGATCAATTCAAGTATGTCCGGTAAAAATGTGAGGAAATTTGGATTCCTTCCCCCCCGCCCCCCCCCCCCCTCCCCGCATTTTTGAAAGCATGTCACGGTGGAAGCCACCAAAGCAGATGGCAACCTCAGCAAACCTGTAAAACAATGGCAGGTGGGCAATTTTGAAAGATCGTGATTACAGCTAAACGGTATTTCATTCGTTAATGGCAGAAAATTAGCTCTGATTGAACTATGGCTGACCGACGCCCCTACAGACGCCCTCTCCTTCTCTGCTAACGTTCTAGACGCTTTGTCAATAAAGCCCGGAACGAATTATGCCGTCGACAGACAACAGTGCGATCTCCAGGTGACAAGCCATGAGTGGTCACTCACTTCTCTAGAGAGAGAGATTTGTCTCGACAAAGTTCCTCGTAGCGGACGTCCATATTCCTCCAATACTGACACTTTTCTAGCCGCCGCTCGGAGCGACCATTTTCAAAGTAGAGGACGACTTCTACTCCCCTTTCTACCAGCCAAGGGAGAAGTCGTGTTGTACAGCAAACTCCATAACTGAACACGTGCGTCGAAGTGCTAGTCCATGTGTACCAGAAGATTCTCGAACGTAAGCGAACACAACATGAACAGACTCCATTATCGCTAATGATGAAAAGTGGACATCATATGATCATCCTTACAGAAAATTGCGGCTACCAGTGGATGTGAAGCCACAACCTGTTAGAACGAGGCACCTACGCCAAAAAAGAGATGACCTCATTCATCTTCTGCTCCACTGGGTGAATATACTGAGATCCTACCCGAAAGTACTGCTGTGACCGCAAGAGCATTCTGCAAAAACCGTTCGAGCTGGTGACTCGAGCCCCAGTTCACACCGACTACAAGCAAAGTTTGTAATTGTGATGGACAGTGCTCGACCACACCATGCGAGGACGACGACGGAGGAGCTGGAAAGACTTGGCATCACCTGGCCACCCCACTGGCCACCTCACCCCACATCTGGCCTTATCCTTTGTGACTATCATGCTTTTAAGCGCCTACAGGCCTTTTACCACAGAGAAGAACGACAACCGCCACGAAGTCAAGTGTGCAGAGGATGCATTGATCCCGTCACGTCACGCCTTTGTTCCTTCTGGAGGAGGGCATCAGTGCTGTACAATCGATAGAGAGACAACGTAAGATCAATCAG